AAAAAAAAAAAAAACCAGTTAATTAAGGCATAGCAAATTATACAATTACAACCCACCTGAAAATTTCGGTAGGTAATAGCACACAAAAGCAAGCACGTAGGATAAGGCTCGACTCCTCAAACACCTACATTTAAGCGCGATATTTTATCAATAATTATCTTACTACTCGAATTTAACGTAAAACCCATACTTAATAAAAATTAAGATTTACGGGTTTTAATCAGATTTTTAGTGGACTTGGAACTCTCTCATTTTCAAAAATATGACTCGGAGAAGTAAATTGGGGTCTCGGAACTTAAAATAATTTTTCCCAAATTTTTTCTCATTTTTAAAATATTTTTAAAATTTAAATCGGTATCTAAACGGGCTCCGAAATTCAAAATAGATCTAAAAAACGAATTGGGACTAGGTGGAATTTAATTCTCAAAATTGGGCCTCCTGAACTCAAGAGTTTTGGGCCAACAAAAGCAATTGGTCCGCGCATTTAGAGCCTGAACAAGGCTGGGCATATACACGCGGACTGGGAGTGTGATGGGCCGCGCGGGCTGGTTTTCGGGCCATATGGCCCGGGCGCTCATATAAGCTGCATTTAAAAAAAACCATTTTGCAAGGGTTGAATTCGAACACGCGACCTCGCGTACAGAATAGCGCGCGTAACCGCTGCGCTACACGAGATGAATGCGATTTAAATTACAGACTTTACAAAATAAATTTAGAACAAACCTGCTACTGAACTAAAACAAAAGCTGCGAAAATGAAAGGCTAAGTAGCAGATTGAACAGAATTCCAGGCTGTAGGTTTCAACAGCAAAATTTTACAGAATTTTACCCAAAATATAATGACTTTTCCATAGTTCGAAAACCTTACAAAAACGGGGTTTGCTCGGGATAGGAAACGACACCTAACGGTTCAAAAACAACAAAACGACATAACGACTACGGCACGGCTCCAATCAATAAAACCGGACTCTGAAATTAAACACATTTGCCAAAGTAATAGCTTCAAGACATTGTAAAAATTTTTTGACAAACCAAATACATTAAGAGTTTCGAAATGTTAGAAGAACCGGGTTCGAGCAACACGTAACCGGCCTAAACAAAATGCATACACGATTGATGAATATAACAACCCGGAAGAATTTAACGAGACTCCGAATCTATCATTAATTTGCAACAATTAAAAACAGACTCGATTAAACTAAGTCGAGAGTTCCGGGAGGCCCACGCCAATTCACGATTCATTCAATGATTATCCAAAATTCAACGAACGAACCGATAATTAATCCGAATTCCAAATACTATTGAACGATTCAATGAGAAAATAATTCCAACAACAAGGTAGTACGAACAGTAAAACAGAAAGGTTCGAAAAGATTACCCGTCTTCGGGAATCTACGAGTTATCGGAAAAATGTTCGGGGCAAAACGGGGCCGAAGGACGAAAGGGACTCTGAACTCGAAGGCTTCAGACACGGTGAGTGAAGTCTGCTAATCCCCGAATTGCACCGCTGTGTGGACGCCGACGGCGAACAGGAGGTCTCGTCGAGGCACGCGAACGAAGCTTTCGCCGGAAACAATGGAGGTCCGCCGGATCGCAGGCCCACGATTGGCTTCTGCTCTGGAATCGACGGCAAGGGTCAACCGCTGTAGAGGGCGTCGGCGATGGCAGGACGCTGCTCGGGACAAGGATGATGGCAGTTCTCTTGCCGGAATTTATGGTGAGGGATGATTTGCTGGTTGCAGGTTTCGAAAGAAAAATTTCAATTGATATGCAATCGAGAGATATGAGATGACCGAGATATAATAGGCGAGAAGGAGGTCGGCGAGTGAAAAAGGGAGAACGTGCAAGGGATTTCACCGAAGTATCAGAACAAAATTTGATCTTGCTGAGGTTGAAGAAGACTCGGTCTGGGCGCTGCAGATCGTGATCTTATGGGCCAGAAAAAAGATTTATTGCTTGCCAATGGACCACTTACCAATTTGGGCTACATACAATATTAGACATTGGGTCCATTTAAATAACATAGTAAAAGGTATTGGAATAAAATTCCAATTGGGACGAGATTCATATCCGAGGACTAACATCTAACAATTCTCTTGACGACGAATATATTAATACGGAATATCTATATTTATAATACACATAATATTTTAAAATAATAATATTAATAATAAAATTATGCATTGACAAATAATTACACTTTTGACAAATAAATATATATATATACATTCCAATAATATGATAGTATTAATAATAATAATAAAAGGAGCACAAATAACAATAAAGAAAATAAATAATAACACCAATAATCCACAATCGAACGGGGTATTACAGTCTATCCACCTTACAAAGAATTCCGTCCTCGGAATTCAAAATAAAAATAAACTAGAAAGCAATAAAGTACAAAGGGGACTCAAAACTCAATGTTTGGATATCGCCTCCGAAGTTCGGCCTCCTTTTCTCAAGTCACTTTCGACTCGTCATGTCGGCTCCAAAGCACCTTCACCAAACTCACTGCCCGGTTCCTCAACTGGTGGACCTTCTGTTCCAAAATAGCTACCGGTACCTCCTCGTAGGTAAGGTCTCGCTCGACCTGCAGTTCGCCGAAGTCCACCAAGTGACCGGCATCATGCACGTATCTGCGCAACATCGAGACGGTGAAACATGTCATGTACGCCCGACAAGCTAGGTGGTAAAGCCAGCCGATAAGCCAAGTTCCCGATTTGGGCAAGGATCTCGAAGGGCCCAATATAACGCGGTTTAAGCTTCCCCTTCTTCCCGAAGCGAATCACACCCATCATGGGCGAGACCTTCAGGAAGACGTGATCTCCGATGGCATACTCGTGCTCATCCCTCTTCCAGTCGGCATGGACTTTCTGCCTCTCTTGGGCTGACCGGATATGCTTCCGGATAGCCTCAACGGTCTCCGCGGCTCTAAGAATGAACTCCGGACCCATGATCGTCCTCTCCCCGATCTCATCCCAGTACAAGGGTGTTTGGACCTTACGTCCATACAAAGCCTCGAATGGGACCATCTTGATCGTGGAGTGGTAGCTATTGTTGTAAGTCAGCTCGACCAAAGGCAAGGCACTCTCCCAGGTTAGGCTACAGTCCAAGACCATAGGCCTCAATATGTCTTCCAAGTACTGGATCGTCCGCTCTGACTGACCGTCTGTCTGAGGATGAAAGGTTGTACTGAACTCCAGCCTCGTCCCCATGGCTCGGTGCAGGGTCTTCCAGAACTTGCAAGTGAACTTCGCATCTCGATCAGACACGATCTCCACGGGAACTCCATGAAGCTTGACAATCTCATCCACGAACAACTCGGCATACTGACTAGCCTTCACAGTTGTCCAGACTGGCAGAAAATGGGCCGACTTCGTAAGGCGATCCACAATTACCCAAATAGAATCATGCCCGGTCCTCGACCTTGGCAATCCCACTAAGAAATCCATGGTGATGCACTCCCACTTCCACAAGAGAACCTCAAGTGGCTGCAACTTCCCTCTCGGTTTCTGATGTTCAGCCTTCACTTGCTGACATACCAGACACCCATTCACGAACCTTGCCACTTGCCACTTTATACCTCGCCACCAGAAAGACTTCCTCAAGTCCTGATACATTTTCGAACTACCAGGATAGACGGTGTACGGGGCACTATGGGCCTCTTTCAAAATCTCCCTTCGTAATTCCCACACCTTCGGAACACAAAGTCTACCCTCGAAGACCAAGGCCCCATCAGGTGCGACTGCGAATCCTCCAACTCTACCGGCTTCGGACAACTCCTTCATCCGACAAAGGAAACGATCATTCAGTTGCTCGGCGACTATCCTCTCACGAAGAGTCGGTCCCACAACCAAAGAGCTCCACTGCCTCTAGCTGTAGCCGCTCGAACTCTCGAAGGAGGACATCTTGCTCGGTAAAGAGACAGGACAACTGGCCATAACTCCTCTGACTAAGGGCATTGGCTACTACGTTAGCTTTCCTCGGATGGTAGCTAATCATGCAATCGTAGTCCTTGACCAGTTCCAACCACCTACGCTGCCGCATATTCAGCTCCTTCTGAGTGAAAATGTACTTTAGGCTCTTGTGGTCGGTAAAAATCTCACACTTACCTCCATAGAGGTAGTGTCGCCAAATCTTCAAGGCGTGAACGACTGCAGCTAACTCAAGATCGTGAGTGGGGTAGTTCTGCTCGTGAGGCTTCAAGTGCCTCGAAGCATAGGCTACGACCCTCCCCTGCTGCATAAGGACACATACCAAACCCATCTTCGAAGCATCACTATAGATGGTGAACTCCAAAGTAGGGTCGGGAATGGATAGAACGGGCGCGGTAGTGAGTCTCCTCTTCAACTCCTGGAAACTCTCCTCACACCTAGGACTCCAATCGAACCTCACGGCCTTCTTCGTAAGGTGGGTTAGTGGCTGGGCTATCTTCGAGAAACCCTCGATAAACCTTCGATAGTATCCTGCTAACCCCAAGAAACTACGAACATCAGCGGCACTTCTTGGCGTATCCCACTTGCTCACTGCCTCGATCTTGCTGGGATCTACCTCAA